TAACTTGCTCATGTAATTCCGAATTGGTTATAGAAGCGTGAAGTGAATGAATCTTTGCGGGAGCGGGCGCGGTATTGCCTAAACGACCGGCTAAAATCCAGCCCAGTTGTGTCTTCTGTAGCATTGGATGCTTGTCCGACGATTGAATTTGACCAACGCACATTAAGTCCCAAAATAGTTCCGCGCCTAGTAAAAGATCAACCTCCGACGATATGTGGAATCGCGGATCAGCGAGATGAATGTTGCGCGGAAATTCGAACTTGTCCCGTCTCAGAGAGAACGCCGGGATTTTATCAATGACTTGATCAGCGACGATGCAATCAATGATCCCGGTGTACGAATTGAGAGAATCGCGATTGTAATTTAATCTGAGCGACCTGACTGGAAGTAGTGAGTGTTCCATTGACGCCAGAAATAGATACGCTCAACGGGCGTGTTTGTAAACCGAGAGCCTTCACAAACTTCTTTGACACGAAGTTCGCCTGTGACTCACAATCTAATAAAACACGACATGCTCTTGGCGAGCCCTCACTGTCGTATGCATGCACAACTGCAGTAGAGAGTATAACTTGTTGACCGCCGAATGATCCTGACGCGTGGGTCGCTAAGACGGAAGGTGCCTTGGGTGCAACCTCCTTATTAGAATTGTTAGTTGATGCCTCCGTGGTCGAAGGCATGTGTAGAAGTGTATTGTGCCTTGCCTGACACACTTTACATTGACCGGAAGTACACTTATCCGAAGTGTGAGAGGAGGAGCGCAAGCAATTAGTGCATAATTTGCGGCTGCGAATTTCCGCGGCCCTCTGTGGGACCGGAAACGCCACAAAATTTTTACAGTAATAGATGGCGTGATCGCCCTGACAGAAATGACATTTAGATTTAACGGTGGCCGCACAAGACGATTGCCGCTTAATATTTGATTGTGATTTTGTTTCGTTCTTTTTTGTGACAGCGGCAGACGCGGTGGCCTCAAGAACTTGACATCTATGAGCGATAAATTCCAACAGCTGTTTAAGTGATGGAAGTTCGTTTTCTGTTAGAGATATTTCCCACTCGCGTAGCGTGATCGAATCAAGTTTGGAGGTTAAGATAAGAACGAGAAGATCGTCCCAACGCTTTGTAGGACGCTTCAATGCCTGAAGGGTATGCAAATGCTTTGCAGCGCCGTCCGAGATCTTCCTGAGCTCGACTGGATTTTCTTTTGCCATGGATGGCAAATCCATTATAGCCTTAACGTGATTTTGTACAATTACGCGCTTGTTGTCATCGACTCTTGAGAATCGACCACGCGACCGCGTAATTGGCATCCAAAATTTCTAATGAACTGATTACGGCACTTGCGTCACCGGTTAGACATCCACGCAGATATTGAAATCGTTGCGCGTCTGAGAGCGAGGCATTGGAATGAATAACCGAATTGAAAGTGTCGAAGAACGGGAACCATTCGTCATACTTGCCGGAGAACGACGGTAAATTTAATTTAGGCAGCCGAATATGCATTTCACTATCCGAGCCGCGAACACTTGAGGAAGAAGGAGAAAAGATAGATGCTCGCGATGCGAGGGTGGGAGACAACAGCTCGCGTATTCTAGCGGATAATGTATAAAACGCGTCCTTCGAAACCACCTCGATCGCCGCCTTCACTTTCATCGCACATCTCCAAACGCGATTGCACTTCATTATATTCGGACCAATAGTGTTCGAGCCTTGCTTTACGCTCTTCAAGCTGAGCCGCTATTGAAGGAGTTACGGATGAGATTGATTCGACGTACGTTCTCATACGCATGCACGATGCCTTTATGGTCGTGCGCTGTCGCTTGAGAGTTGCCGCCTCTGATTGGTTGACCATCTTGGATGCGAATGTGTAACATACGCGATGAAACGATTCTGGTTGGCAACGGAAATAATGGCCTCCCTTACCTTGCTATACGCGCGATCGACGTGAAGATGAGCGCGAAGATGCTGGATGCCTCCTCGAGCGTTGATGAATGGGGAAGTCTCCTCTCGCGGCGTCTGGACCGTTGAGAATGTCTCCTGCTGCACTTCGTCAGGGCTGTCCTCTGCCCTCCACTGATGCTGCGCCGAAGATATGCCAAGAAATGAGCCGGGTTGCGTCCTTGATGACGGACGCGAGCCTTGCGGCCACTTATGTCGTGTCACGCCGCTGCTGCAACGCTTGAGTCGTGATATGCCGCTGATGCGACGAAATAAGCCGGGCTGCGTCTTAATGTCGGACGCGGGCCTTGCAGCTACTTATGTCGTATCATGCCGCTGTTGAGACGCTTGAGTCGTGATATGCCGCTGATGCGACGAAATAAGCCGGGCTGTGTCTTAATGTCGGACGCGGGCCTTGCAGCTGCTTATGTCGTGTCACGCCGCTGTTGCGACGCTTGTGTCATGCCCATATATGTAATCAGGAGACGCGGTAGCGTCTCCGGCCATGTTCAAAAAAACTGTGAACGCTA